TTATATATATATATATATATATATATATATAGCATGAATTGCTGCAGGCTGACAAAGGCTTGTTATTTAGAGACCAGAGAAAGTATTTTGTTTCTATTCGCGACAATTACATAATACGCTGTTCATGCCATGTTTTTGCTAATGACCAACTTGGTTCGAGCAGTTACATCGTAGTTGAACAATCAACTGAAAGACTTTCAAATGATTATTGTGCTGGACCGGACTAGAGTATGAAGCGGTCCTCTTTTAGGCTTCACTCATCATATTTTTACAATACGCATACTATCGTTTTTCCAGTTGATTTTGTTGTTCGAATATAGGCAGAGCATATCGTAGAGGGGAGAACAAGTTTTCATTACTCAATTATTTTTCAATGCTATAACTCTTTCTACCGCTTCGTTGTTTTCCTCGTCTCGCTTATGCTCACTTTTGTTCCTTTTCATTATCGCTGGGTGCTCTGAGACCGCCTGTCGGCCCCATCTGTGCATTCAGGTTTACCTAAGCCTAAGCGCGTCATCATCGGTGACTAACATTAAAATTGTGGGGCCTCATTTCTATCGTCCTTGTTGAGCTAACTGCCTATGCTGCGGCCACGTGAAACGCACTGAGCTAAGGTAATTCACGATGCAGCGCCGACACCGACGATAACGGAGGCAGCACCATCAGCAACTATAACGATTCACCAATAATAATATCCACGACAACGCCATCAATTAAGAATCACTATCAAGAGAAAATACCCACTTTTTTGTTGATGTCCGACAACAAGTACTTCGCTTAGCAATTCTGATAGACGCACTTCTCTGGCCTCGTTTTCTTTTCGCTTTCTTCTATTCGCCGAAACCCAACTAACCACCAGCCGTGTGTCTCACGAGCGCTTATAGAACTAGGCTAAATGTATCAGCGTTGTTGCTGCCGTACTGAAACTGCTGATCACAAAGTTTAATAGACTTAAATGCTTAGTAGTCTATCTCATTAGCCGCTTTCTTTATCTTTCGGTAATAACAACGATAATATTAGTAGTCACGATGAGATCTAGCAAAGTTTCTAGAGTTACCTAACCTTGCCAAAGGCTGTCTAGATTGTTTCGCTATGAATACTTACAGCATCCGTTAGTCGGAGACATGTGGCAATATATTTGGAGATACGCAAGCGATTTTAATACAAAAATCATTTGCCGGCACAAACTTCCCCCTGCTCGTAATACGAATAATCGTGACGAATGACTGTATGGTAACACAGACATGGTCATGGAATGCGTTTCACCCCATAATTAAGCCATGTCTACCGTTTTGTGCTCGGTACACTACGAACATAGGTGGGCTGAATAATTATGAGTCAGCCAGAGACTGTTATTGAAGTTAAAGTAAATTCTCAATGAAGATGTCCGGATGTACTACACTACTACTGTGTCTAGTAGTTCTACTGTATTTAATAGTAAAAATACCGTTGACAGAGGTGGGTTAACTGAGCCATTAGTTACCATGGTTTTCACATATATAGATATAATATTAAAAAATAACAGCGTCTTTGGTATGATAAGTGAGGAGTCAAAACTAATTATAGGTGCTGGCTCCTACAACGTAAAAAGTCTTCTCTAACTAATGTAGTTACTAGCTATTCTTAGTTTGTCCGATTTCTGTCTTCATTCGCTAGCTAAGTACCGACATAGAAGGGCGAGGCAGTGCAACAGATGCGATGATGATGATGGTGGTGGTGGTGACGCCACCGAATGATGACGTGAATGGATGGTGATGATAAATCGATTTTCAGTTGATTTTGCGTCCATAGTTCTCGTTGCCATAGACGCCAGCGCAATCATCTGTCCAT